TTCCGGGCTAGGGACTAGGATTTAGGGAAATCCGGTCACACCACCACTATGGCCACATTATCAGCGTAACCATAGACGGGGAAGCCCGCTTTCCGCAACTTTTCAAGAAGTTCATCCACCACTAGGCACCACAGTAAGGGAGATAGTACTCCCCCCTGCAGACAACCTTTGACGGGGAAGCCATGCACCACCGAGTCCCCATGACTAGCAGTCAGGGTTCTTCCTGTAAGCATGCTTTGTGTCTGGTCTGCTAACGCAGCTGGAATACCATACCTGGTCATCGCTTTCCCGATCACATCATACGAGGTGCTATCAAAAGCTTTCTCGATGTCCAGGAATACGCCCAAGAAATATTCCTTTGCTTCCAACTGTGATTCAACTTTGCCCACGAGATGGTGCAGGGCAGTATCAGTTAATCTGCCTTCTCTGTAGGCATATTGAGAGGAAGCGAGTAGATAGGTAAGCAAAGGGCCGTTTTTCAGGAACCCATCAATCAACCTCTCCAACGTTTTAAGAACGAAGGAAATGAGACTGATAGGCCTAAAGTCTTTGGCTAATATGTAGCCATTTCTGCTAGGCTTGGGTATGACCCGGCCGATTTCCCTCCACCTTGTCGTGGTGGGCGGGCTTGGGAGCGGCGAAGTAAAGGGGCTATGCTAGCGGGGACTCTGTTGAGCCCCTGATAGGGTCATCCTTGCTAGATAGGCCCTTCGCCGAGCTCCCGTACTAAAAGAGGGAATAGAGAAAAAAAACTTCGAACAAAAACCCGGATTTCTTTGCTTTGTTAGCCCTTGATGCCGGGGCAACTGGGATAGGGGAGAAAACCCTGACTTCAAATCCGGGCAGGCCGGGCTCGTCAGACTTGGATGTCAACCGGCCTAGGAGAAGGCCACTCCGAAATTAAACGCCCCACAAAAACAAATATGGACAGTTTAGACAAGGAGGTACCATTACCGGACCAGGGTGACCGGACACCCTTTTTTTTCTTTTTACAAGAGGAAATCCTTTATGGATATCCCGGCCTATAAGGGCAGACCAGGATTATGTGGGACTTACTCCCGAAGGAGCGTACCCACTAAAACCACCTTGAGGCTCCTCGTGCGCTCTGGGAAGGAACCTGGAAAACCGGAAGGCTATAACGTCCCGGTTTCCTTCCCGCGCCTGGGTGCCAGTCGCATGGCACCGCATCCCCGCGACGACAGAAGGGAGCCTATCCTCTCCTGCCGACTCCTATGTTCGCGTGCAATGTCCGAGAAGGCCCTCACCTTCCCGGACTGCGAACTGTGACTATCCTCTCCCCCGCCTGCTGTGGGGTAGTCTTAGAGACATCCCAACGAGGCGAAGAAGAGGGCGAGTTCAATCTCTCTGCGCTAGAATCGGGGATTCAGTCCCCGATCCTTAACCGGGCCATAGGCTGACCCTGACGCAGGCGCTCCACATCCTCCTTAACCCGGAGCACCTTCTCGCAGAAGGCGAGGAAGACGCGCCATTTCTCCACGTCCCCCACCGCCTGTCGAAAGACTGACGGGAGGAACACGTCAGGGCCAAACGCTTCGTGAAGGATTCCATCCTTTCCTCGTTTCACGCGGTGCACTCCTCGAGAGTGTGAGCCGCAGTGTCGACCGCGACTTCGCAGTGCTCGCACTCCGAGGTGCCCATCTTACCTATGCGATGCAGAAACACACCAAAAACTCCGTGGCCCGTAACCATCTGGGTAGATCAAAAGGTCATTCAGAGATACGGCCGACTCGCCCAGTCTTTCAGGACCGGTTCCACCGCTTCTCTAACCCTCCATCCTTGGAGACGTGGGTCCTCGATTCTGTGCTGCCACCGCAGAACCATGCGATCGTGCGCCTCCGACCGGGCTCGCCCGACCTCTTCCGGATTAAGATCTCGGCCGGTCGCTCGCGCCCTGCCCAGCTCCGCCTTTCTGGCCTCGTACGCTTCCGCGTATGCACCGGCCAGCAGGTCCACAGGTGGGATCCTCGCGAGCAGTCGAACGGATTCGAGGGCCGCGGTTCGATAGGCCCGCGCCACCCGGCCTCCCACAAGACGTTGAACCGAGGCTATTGGGGCAGCTGTCCGGCCCATCCCGACCTCCCGGTGCCACACCGGAGCGCCGTACATAACGACAGAGTGCACGACGTTAGCGTATAACTTTCGCACACTCTGCCGCGGTCCTCCGAGGTTGGGGAGAAGCCGGCTCAGAGCCCAGGTCACTTTGTGGGTTTTGCGGGCCACGTAATCAAAGTGGGCCCTAAACTTCCACCTGTCGTCTACCTGTAGACCTAGGTACTTCATATGTGGTTGCGTCGCGACTTGAGTTGGCCCAACCCATACTGTCACAGGTCTCTTTTTGCGGCAGCGAGGAGGACGGAAGATTACCGCCTCCGTCTTGGTCGGTGCGAGAGTCAGCCTCAATAGCCCCATGCGGTGGGACACCGCCGCCACCGCCAGGGAAGCTCGTTCCACCGCCACCAGCTCGTCGCTTCCACCCGACAGGACAAAGGTGTCGTCTGCGTAACAAACGAGCGAGCACCCCGGCGGGAGCGGGACTCGAAGTACGGCGTCGAATCCCACGTCCCACAGAAGTGGATCCAGCACAGACCCTTGTGGGACATCGCACGAGACGCGGTGAGAACGGACCTGCCCGTCCGCGCACGGAAACACAACGTTCCGGTTGGACAGATAACTGTCCAACACGGCCCGACGGGAACCCCCAGTAACTTCCCGCCTCGCGTAAGCTACCCCAAGAGAGGGTGTTAAACGCGTTGCGCACGTTGAGACTAACGGCGACGCAAACACCACCCTCCCGGGTAAACCCTTTCGCCACAGAGCGGAAACGGAGGATCGCGTTCACCGTGGACAGACGTGGGCGCAACCCGAACTGCCCCGCGTCCAATCCCCTCTTTAGCGCATCCTCGATGCGTCCGGCCAGGGCACGCTCGAAAAGTTTCCCAAGCTCGTCTAGCAGGCAAATAGGCCTGAAGGACGGTGAGCCTCCGGGAGGGACCGGCTTGGGAATAAGAACGATCCTGGCCTGTTTCCACGCCTCAGGGAAGATCCCTTCTCTGAGGCACCGATTAAAACATCGGAGAATATGCTCCGGTGCTTTAGAAGCCACCCGCGCAGGGCAGCCCATCCAGGCCGGGGGCACCGCGACGCCCGGTGACCTTTTTAGCGAGAGAGCGGAGCTCCTCTGCCGTCACTGCAAACTCCCGACGCCACGGGAACGCTCTCCGGGGCGCCGAAGGGGCCTCGATCTTCGAGGGGAACAGGGAGTCTACCGCCCTGCGGATCTCTTCAATCTCTATAGTCTCGGTGACGGCCGGACCCGCCGCCCGCAGCTTGGACAGGACCAAACGGTACGGGGTACCCCACGGGTCCCTATCCAAGCCTGCGACAAGCTTCTCCCACGCTTCCTTCTTCGCCACCGCAATAGCACGGCGAAGCTCGCGTTGTGCACTTCGATAAGCGCGGCGCAGCACCTCAACTACCCTCGGGAGATAACGCCTCCGGCAACGGGCCCGCGTATACCTACGCCGGGCCACGACACAGAACCGGCGAAGGGCCGCTATTGTCACCGACGGCCGTAGGGACGCGGGAGACAACACCGGATCAGCGACAAACCAGTGGAGAGAAGGCGAACGCCGGTTCCAGAACGTGAAAATTCGGACATCTCCAAAAATGACTATAATCACCAGTGAACGAACCTTCAGGATCCGTTTAGAGACGTTTATAAGCATCCAGTGCAGTGTATTAAGCGCTAGGATTAAGAATAGATTTAAGTTTTATTTTAGTTATTTTTTATAAAAAGAACGCACTCTTAAGGTGGCGGCTTAAAGATTCTGGTGATTTTTTTGTTAAAAAGGCGCAAACGCGTCAAAGATCGTTTGTTTTCATTTTACAAGTTATTATTAAGCTACGTTGACATAGAATAGTCCGTATTAGAGACCGATAGTGTAAAATTCGGTAAAATGTTGAAATTTTTAATTTTTGTTTTTTATGCACCGGTCGACGTGCATTTGGATATAGCTCTACATGGCTATAGTAATTTTCGTTTTTAGGAAGTTTTGGGACGTGCGACACTAAGTAGGTAATAAGACGAAGCCCTAGCGAAGGAAGGTGCGTACACATACACACACACACAAACATGCGTCTACACACACTTAGGTACATCAAAAGTTAAGACAACAGACGACCAATCAAATTTCAGAACACAGAGACATGACGTTAGGACATGCAACACAATACAGAAACAGACAGATTGACGAACAAACAAACAAAAACACACACAAACACGTTGGACAACACGCAGACAACAACAACAACAACGTTTAAACAGTGTTGGTAACACTCATGAAAACAGAGTGCACCTACTAGGGAAAATGCATGTGCACGCGCGAACCGTGCAAAGCGGGCTTAAGATTCGCGCGCAAACTCGCACAGAGAGTAGTCGTAATCGAGGAGTCGAGATGCAAAGATGGAGACGGTAACATCTTTGTAGAGAGTCAGTCGGATTCGAGAGTCGAACAAGGAGACTCAAAGAAAAAAAGTCGAATTCCTAACAAAGGAAGAATCGAAAGAAAAGACGAACGCGAGCGGAGAGTAGAATCGAGAAGTAAAATCGCCGTGCGTCGACAATCGGGCTACCGCGACAATCAAACGCAATCGTCTTGTTGCGAAATAAACTGGCCGCGAGCGACAAACAAACGCGATCGCGATTCCAACCACGACGTGCTCGATTTTTATAACCTATTTTATACGAACATTGTTGTAATGGACATTATCAAATATATAAACTTATTTTATCGTATCATGTGCCTGAAATACATGAAGATAAGCATACTTACTTCTCCTGGATCCTATCCTGAAAAGGGAAAGAAGCATCGGGTTTACAGGAACAATGAGGGAGACGAGTGGTATCCGAGCGTCCTTAAAAGATACCTGGCGACCGTGAAAACCTGCAGAGGTGAGTAAAAGTGAACATTCACAAAAAATCGACCGGAAAATCCGATCACACTATCTCCTCCGTCCACCAGTAGGTAGATCTCTTTGCTACGGACCCCCGGACTCTTGGCATAGAGGCGTCGCAGGCGTCTGTAACGACGTCTGTAAGCCACGTAGCCTCGTCCTCCGCAGAAAGGTCCTTTTCGGAAGGGATCCCCCACGTCGCGCTCAGTAGCGCCGCGTCAAAACGGTCTATGTCCCACTCCCGGATTTTCCATCTCGGAAATGGCGACCGACGCGTTCCGACACCACGAACGAGATGTAGAGATGATCGGAGAGCGACTCTTGCTGCCGCAGCACCGACCACCCTCGCACCAGCGGCGCCACCGGCCCAACGTAAGGTCTACGATGGAGCACCCATTAGGGCGAACACACGTCGGCGTTGCGCCCTCGTTCACGACCCGGAGGTCCAAACTCGCCGCCCACGTCTCCAACACGCGCCCACGCCAGTCGGTGCGGGGAGAGCCCCAGGGTGACCGGACACCCAGGTCCCGGCAGTTCGGGGGTTCCGACCTTGTCGCCGTTCGGTCGTTATCCGACGAAGGGTTGGCTGCTCCGTGCCCGGCAGGCGGAACAGTCTCTGATGCTACTACCGAGGTAGCGGAGGCGGACCTGGCGGTCCCTGGGCTCAACGGGGTCACAGTGAGCGGCGTGGTGGACCTGACTTCCACTCCCAGATCCACCGGCAATTTATTTGGCGAACGCGTGCTAGACACGCTGGAGATTTCCTCGGAGGGGGACGACCACTCCGAACAAGAGGCGATGAAAAGTGTGGAGAGAGAGGTACCCTTTATGTCCCAGCGGCGGTACGTAAACCGCGCCTTTTTTAAGAACTCTGTTCTTAAGGGCAAGGGCGGCGGCCAAGGGATGAAGAGAAGTCGTCCATCTAATACCCAGGACAACGAGTACGAGACGTCGCCACCGGAGTCAGACGTAGAGCAGGGACCGAGCGTTGACGTATATGCTGCATCGATCCCTGTTTTGCTGGAAGTAATCCACCGCCGGCTGGCCCACGTGGACACCCTCCGGAAGAAGTCCTCCAGGCTTAAGGGCTCAGTATCAGGAGGTATAAAACGGGCCTTCATCCAGCTTAAGAGAGAGACGAAGGCCTTGGCGGCACGCGTACGGGAGCGCGTAGATGCGGGGCATCTGGCAGAATGCGTGGCAGCAGCGAAAAGAGAGGCAAACCGTTTGCGTCAAGCAAACAGTCTGCTTCAGGCGGAAATGATGGAGCTCAGGCGGCGTATGGACGAGATGGCGGAGGGAGCTCTAGTTCGGCAAGGGTGTGACGTGGCTGTGCAAGCGTACATCCCGGTTGTGCGCACGATGCACACGATCCCAGCGGGTAAAAGTCCCGTGGTAAAGGTGGTGACACCCCCTGTTAGCCTCCCGTCTGTGGGAGGCCGCAAGAGGGAACTGAGAGAACCCTCAGGAGGCGAGCCTGCAAGACCGGCCTTTGTAGAAGAGGATGCAGCCACCGTGATCAAAAGACAAGTCACGGAGCTGCTTCAAAAGAGTAGAAGAGAGCTCGAGAAGCGGGTCGTGGAGCTGGTGAACGGGGCATTATCTGGCCCAGCTCAGGGCGATAAGGAGCGGCCTGCAGCGCAGCCTCCTAGCCGTCCCGATCCACGGACCTCGAGCGAGTCCTGGGTCGAGGTCGTTACTCGGGGCCGTCGTCCCCCGCAAACGAGGGAGACGGTGGTACGACCAGCCCGGACCCAACAAAGGATACAGGGTCTCCCCCAACGGGAGTCAAGTAACCAGTCCTTGGGCAGGGCAAGGAAGAAGAGGCGCAAACCTCGCCGGGCGGCGGCGGTGGCGATCCGCCGCCCACCGGGGCAAGAGAGCCCGGTGTCATACGCGGACATCATCCGCACTGCGCAGGCCAGGATCTCCCTCCACGAGCTGAGGATTGCGGATACCCGTATGCGCCGGGACATCGGGGGAGAGATCCTGGTGGAGATACCGGGTCCAGAAGGAGAGGCGAAGGCGGCCCGACTGGTGGAGGCGCTTGCTCCGGCCCTTCAGAGCGCTGCCGTGGTTACCCGCTCTGTGCGGAAGGCCGAAGTCCGGCTGACTGGACTCGATGAGTCCGCGGAACTAGGGGACATTGTGGCGGCTCTCTCCGCTGAAGAGTTTGGGCCTTGCCGAGCAGACGACATCAGCCTGGGTCCAATAAAGGAAGGCCGGGATAGGATGGGGGTGGCCTGGCTTAGGTGCCCGGCCGATGTAGCGAAGAAGGCAGCGGAGGTGGGCCGGCTGAGGGTGAGATTGTCCACAGCCCGTGTTGCCCTCCTCCCCACCCGGCAGCTCCAGTGTTACAAGTGCCTCGAGTTTGGGCACGTCCGAACGGCTTGTCGCACCGATATAGACCGAAGCCAGACGTGCTATCGTTGCGGCGAGGGAGGGCACATGGCCCA